AAACAGAGACTGCTAATTTAAAGGTAATGCTCGGTATAGGTAGTGGTGCGGCAATGCAATGCAGTTTCAGCGTAAACAAGGCACGATTTAACCGAAGGCACATAAAATTTTCATGATGGACACTACAGGCACTTCTTGGAGCGGGTACATCATTGCGTCTGAAAAAAAATATCGACAGACTAGAGCTAAGAATACCCGAGATGAAGGTGCGATTGCACTATCTCTTGCAGGTACCCAACTTCGAATTTTATCACCAATAGGTATTCAGAATATGTCTAGTGTCACTATATAGACTCAATGTGTGGAGACGAGAGAGCAGTTAAGCAACTTTCTCACCGCTCTGTATCGGCGACCTATGCTGCGTATGAGTATATTGATATCTGCAAGCGGTGTAAATCATAAACTCACAGCTGCGGCAGCAACATATGTCTAATTAAAATAATCTTAATTAAATCAAATTCAGCGAATCCTCTTATATTTTTCATAGTTTCAAGCACAGAAATGCAATATTCAATACGGAAACTGCAATAAAAATATTTTAACAGGTATATATTTATTAACACCTCATTTTGATAAAATTCAAATAGAATTTTTTTCGGTTACGTCACTAAAAGTAAAACATAGATATTATATTTACTTTTAGTGGCATTCAATGGAGATTGCTAGTGAATTTTGTGCGATGGAGTCGACTTCTACATTTTTCTCATTGGATTCCTATAATAAGAGATGCAACTCAAAGTCAAAATAATCTTTATTCAAATACTTCTTAAAAGTACTTTTGAATCGTCCAACATTTTTCCCTACCGCTCGTTCAGGACGTCTTTTGGCTAATAAGAAGAACGAGCAAGAAACTCACCAGCTCTAATAGGAGTAAAATATTTCAGATTGCTATTGCGATGTGTTAATAGCAATCTGAAATATTTTATTGTTTCTCTTTTCAAATGGCAAGACTAATAAATGAAGATATTGTTAATTGGTTGAAACGCTTACTTCTCTGCCTTGGACATGTAGTAGCTTGGTGTAAAAACATCAGAAAATGCAACACCATCGGCTTTCTCTTACAACTAGCTTTATAGCCAGGCGCGTTTATAGAAAATCGCAAGGTGAAAATTATGAAATCACATAGTAACTGATTCGCTTCGCCGTTTTCAGATATTAGATCATTAACCTCTGATTACTCTAGTCTTTTCGACTAGAGTAATCGATATCTATAGGTATTGTATACCTAACTAAAATCTGTTGACGCTAAAGATAAACGGTCCAGTTTGTTTTTATATTAAGGTCAATAAAAGGAGTCAATATTAAAAGCTTCGTTATTCCAAACAAATAATTGATAATTATCACTAATAGTGTACCCGTGTAAGTAAAAGTGTAAAAATGGTTTGAGAATTTTTCGATGGATATACTGAAACAGAATATTTGATAAATTATAATAAACAACTAAAATAACAAAAGAAATATTGCTAAGTTTCTATTGAAATTATATTCTAACATCAAATTCCTAAATGACCAAATAGGCTTCTCTTTATAAAAATACTTCTACAAATGCATTCGTAAAACTTTGTTCCACTTTATTATTATTTTTGACAATATTGCATACACGCACCGAATAGGTAAATCAACAAGAAAAATATTAATCCTATAGTATAAATATTGCGGTCAAAACAAGGATAATAAAACGAACAACAAAGATAAACGGGTAAATATTTTAATCGTTATAATTCTCGCACAATAGATACGATGATTTGTTATTAAAGCCAGTCAGGAGTACACGTCCGTGCACGTCGCGTTCTTCAGACTTCCACCGACGAATACTTGATTAGATGACTTAACAGTTCTTTAATAAATAGCTCGAGGAGTGCAATAATCGTTACAATGCATTTGCGCATCACCGAGGTTACCGCAAACACGGTCATTATAAGTTTATTGCGAACGGCAGCACTGGATTACTTATAAATTTGTACCCTAACCGAGAGCGTGTTTGGTCGCATATTATAAAACACAAGGCAGCCAAAACTTTCAGTATTCGACCTTATTTTGATGAGACCGCTCGTTTGTTGCAAAAATTTTTCATGAACATACATCATCCAGACGTCAAGCATTAATCGTTTTACGACATGCGATTCAACACTGCAGTGGAAATAACACCCAAAATTTTTTTCACCGCATAACCTACACAATGTTGTGCATACTCATCTCCCGTGCAACGACCCGACTGTTGCATTCAAAGGATAAACTGTTTCAAATTAGAATATTTAAGTGACCGTCATTTGTCTCGTGTGAAACTAAAATATCACCAGCTTAAAAAAATGCGTATAATTATATTCTTGTTTACAAATGGGAAGAATATTATGTTTCTGCATAATATTAATCACAATGAAACATCAATATTATTTATAGTTCAAATTGTTTCTGATAGACACGAAGACGATTTAACGATTTACCAAAATTGTCAAAGCGTCATTTGACTTTAAGCCTTTATTTTACAGTCAACAGCCTGATTCAGGCACAACATTAATCAACGATGTCATGCCATCTCTAGTAAGAGCAATCTCTAGTGAAAGCCTGGTGAAACTTCCAAACGGAAACTAGCTTTCTACCCCGCGACGTTATAGAAAACTAACCCTGGCTTATTTTAAATATATTGCTTGATTCTACAATATGACAAAATAGGTCCGTATATTATCACTGTCACATTTATGAGGAAAAATAGGTTAATTTATTTGGGTATAAAGCTTTTTCTATACTTCAACTACAGAAATTCTTACAGCCAAAAAATAACCATTGATGTAAAATTATATTGATCTGTGTATCATAATTTATCTAATAGATACTGGAAAATGTTTCAACTTTCTAACGTAATAATCCAGTTAATAGTTTTTGCTTTTTTTAGGTTTAAATATAATTCTGTCTGGCACTATTAGCTCTACATTCTTAGTTTCACAGTAGTTCTTAGTTTCTTTGTACAGCTTGATCGATTTATAAATAATTTTATTCTTATGTGATTGAAGTTTGGCTTGGCTTTAAGGCTAAATATTTTATAAAATCCTCTGCAGAAATAGGCATTCAGATATCCATACTTATTCAATACCAATACTTTATCGAGTTACTGCGTAATACAATTCCAAACTACCCAACAAGTTTATAGTCTCTCGGAATAAAGGACAGTAGATTGGTTGGTACATCGTAAACTCCTTACTGAAACAACTGGCAGGACTATTACACTATTTTATGTGAAGATAACTTCTAATACGATTTCTTCATTCATATTCAATTTAGGTGATGTTTAGTTTCTATTGTTTCCAAGAATGTCTGTTATGGAAAGAGTAAATAAATTGGAGACGATAATAAAGCTATAGGACTGATGTTAACTTTTCTTTTGAGTACAAATTGTAGAGCTGATGAATAATGGACCTATAAAGCTTTTCACAGTAAAAGTTGAGGGAACATATTTTATTATTATTTTCCAGCGTGTCAGTATTTGAAGATAGTGCATTGTTGACTTATGTCTACTCTGAAAAGTCGGAACAGAACGCGATTTCTATGGCCGGCCGGGCACAAGGTCGCCCTGCCACGTGCTACGAGCCGGCTAAGAAAACATTTGTAAATCATTTAACAGGTAGGCAAACAAAATATTACGACTTAACACATAATTAAGTTATCTGTGACTTGTAAAGATTTTGTCCTTCAGCATGACCGATGTTTCCTTTCGATAAGATAGATTTATTTTAGGATTATCGAGAAGCGATATAAATTCTTTCTTTATCGAGAATTAAGTTGACATTTGGAAAATGCGTTAAATAATCAACAGCGATATTATATTGATTGAAAATTATTTGAAAGTTAAATGACTCACAACGTGCTATTTTAGTCAGCAATATCTAGACTATATGTGTAATAGTTTTATTCTTGAAACGATGTATTAACGCAACTAATAAAAACGAAAAAAATATATCGAATTATTAACTTAATATACTTGAAATGGATTTAGAATACCATGACAACAATATTTAAATGCTTAATTAAATAAAAGTTTATAAGCTGCTCTCTAATAAGCCATAAAGAGCAGACCATAGTCATAAAAAGCACACTGAAAATAGAGAGAGCGCAATTTCACGCAGTATCCATAAAAATAACAAAGCAAATATTCGTCGTGACATTAACCAAGGTGATGTCCTTGCCAGTTCTAATGCACTAACCCGCGTCTAAACACATAAAGAACATTGTTACACAAGAACGGTATAATTTTCGGTATAACAACTATATGAATACTGATGACTGAGTCATGAACACGATATTGATATTTAAATCAACCACATATAAGATAAAATAAATATACTTATTGAAACGGAGGCTAACTGTTCACCAACATAAAAAAAATCCTGTGAAAATAGAGGGCGGTAAAGGTTTATATAATTTAAATAAAATATTACATATAATAATATCATTTATTTTAGGCAAACAAAATGAATCTCATTCATAAGCGGATAGTTTTCGCAAAACAAAAGATACTTTAATATTCCCCCATGAAAAAAAAATGGCAATTTATTGACTTTGTGGCTCGTTATACACTGATAGAGTTTTTATCCTGTTATATAACACATATTTCAATTACATAACTTACATTGCAGCGTTGGTTTCGTAAACGCGGATTGATTTTTACTTTTTCGGCCGCTCTATATCCGTAACTCGCAACACAATGCCGTTGTAAACAAGAGCACAATGGTACATGCGTATCTAACCAACCAGCTGTTCGGTTACAATAGAAAGTACCATTTGCCAGTTACGTAAACCGTTCAGTGTTTACAAAATATACTTCTTAATTTTCAGCTTTTAAGTCGCTTAATTCAAAAACGTTTCAGAGACGTAACTTTACAGAATATCTGTTTTTTTTAATCTATCATTATTTAAAATTTTCGATTGAAGACAAAAGTGATACGATCTATTTTAACTGCACTTCAGGAAATTGATTCCAATTTAAATAAAACAACAAGAACTTTTATCAGGACATGGTATTTATTGTACAAAAATAGTGTGCGAGCGTGTAAACTCATGCCTCACGACATACACAGACAAATATTAAACCTACTTTTTTATGTATAAAATGCATTCACTCAGTATGTTAGACATAGCCTATTTTGTTTACATCATAGTGAGGGGTATCGTTGAGTTTTACAAAAACGTCTGGCACCACGCCCTTTCAAATCCCAACACAACGACAGACCAATGAGCGCCGTCAAGAACATCAATATAATAAGATTCCAGTCGATGAAATGACAACATTTTAATTAAACATCTAGCGGTGAAACTAAACACCTTCCTTTTCGGTAAAAGTATTAATTACATGAAGATAATTCAACTTGAATTAAGAACCTGTTAAGAATGACAATTTAACTGTACTTGACAGGTTTATGCGTTGAAAATCTGAATTTAAATTAGACTGAATCCAGTGATAGTCCCTGTCTGCGCTGAGCCTGTCGTAGTGAGAAAAAAGTGAAGCAAGAAACAATTTATCATGGCGTCCCACGCACGCGCCGAGCAATATAAGTAAACAACATAAAAATAAAAAAGGAAAATAACTAAACAGCCCGTAGAGTGTAAAACCCAACGATAGAGAGTGCTGCACAATTGTGGGCACAGTCTATGAATAACTTAGTTATATTCACATTATCTACATTGTGGAACTTTATCTGGGAACACTTAAGCTGTTGGACCCTTGTAATAGACAAAGCGTAAAATAAAAACTGAGAAAAGTACTAAAATACAATTCGCTGTTTATCAATAAAGATAACTGTTTCAATAAAACGACCGATTCAACCCGATATCCCATGCGTTCACGATTTTATTCAATACGAAGAGAGCCACGTGGACTTGGCGTAAACAATAAATGTTACAAAAACAAATGATATAAGAATGTGTGCGACAGACTATGATAATCAAAATAAAGAAATAAACATACGTTTATATTTCTGTTATCTCAAGCAATTGTTACGACACAATATTGGATACATTGAACCTTTGAAATTTGTTATTATTATAAACGTAAAAAGGCATTCACTTTGATGGATATTACATTAGGACATGTTGTGATTAATGTTAAGGATGAATAATGAATGTTGGTGAAGGTAATAACGACATACGTGATCATTAAATTTAAATAACACAATGAGAAATGGATGTGAAATTATGCAAGAAAAATATATCTTCAAGTATTTATTTAGAAGAAAAAAAAAACTTTATGGCTTAAAAATTACCGTGCAAAATCACCAATAACTTTGAATTGATTTTGATACGGTACTTGTTTATGATCATCGATTATTATATTTCTACAATAATTTTGATTTGTTTTGGCTTCCAAAGTATTTAAATGTTCGCAATGGATTTTTCTGTTTTATCATACATACAATGAAATATTGTCATAATCTCCAAATGATAAAATCCGATGAAATAGGAATAATGTAACGTGTCATTCAAAGTGTGCCTGTCGCTGTTATTAGCGACGTAAAGCATTGCGCGAGTATAGTAGGCGCCACCCGGAACGGAACGCGGTGAAAACCGCGGGAAACCGCAATAGCGAGCGCTCCAAGCCGCAGCCGCGAGAACCGTGTCAGTAGTGTGAAACGCTAATTGCCCACGCAGGCGTTTACGGCGCATCTTCACATGATGCACTACTCTTGTGCCAGTTTTACAAAATAGAACCTCTATAATAATAAATCGTAACTCGTTTAGACATACAAATAATTTCTTACGATCTCTATGTAGGTATACAAAATCGTTTCCGCATTGCGTTGACTGATAAACAGCGACTTATTCTTTTCCAGATAAAGTTCCCCATCAGTTTCCTAAGCTATTGTTATCAATAAATTAACTTTTATAGAATCTACAGGAAACCGATTCGGAGATCTTTTTTTTATTAAAGATTTTAATGGGTCATCGGACGACGCCGCTAAATGCCTCGCTGAGACAATTTGAGTCCAGCTCAAATGACGAGCGCTTAGACCCCTTATATAATTGATTAATTCGATGCTTCCGCATATATAATTCAAACGACTTGTTCACAAAGATCTCAGACATTCACTAAGGCTAAATCACAAATGTTGCGTGAAGATTTGCTGGCTACGAACGTAGGTGAACATCCTGATTCGGACACTTCAACACTTCTCGTATCGTTAATTGTAACAGCTGTTTCAACTTTGTCACTATTCATTGCACTATTCACTTTGTTATCATTGATTGCATTTATACATTTGTTCGGGACACTTTCACTTTTATCTGCAAAGAAGGAGCGTCGGTCGGAGTTCGTAGCCGAAGGCGAGGTCGAAAATAACTTGATTTCCAGGTCACGATGACCGTTCATTGACGTGACAATCTCGGAGGATATTTCCAAGGCCAACGGAGATCGTGGCTCCGGGGAGGTAGCTCTCCTTGCGGGTGGGAACAATGAATATAAGTTAGGCGCAGAAAATGTGTCCCCATTGTTTATTTCACGTCGTTCGGGAATCCGCGATGAAGGATCACTCCAACTGCGACGTAATGTAGTATCACCCCCTCGCCTCCCTAATGGTCCAACCACTTTCATCGAATCTTCTAATTTGGTAGGTGCGAAATCGCCGCTAGAATTCTCATCCAAAAGATCTGCAATCGAATCGGCATCCCATATTTGCCCTACTGGATCACAATAACGGCATTGACAAGAACTAACAGCAGATTCTGTAGGAGAAACGGCTTCTGCAAGTCCAAAACGTGTAGCCTCTAAAGCTTCTCCTAACGCCGACACACGGTATGTTTCTGGTACAGGATCGGGATAATCCATGACTTTTACGTCCAAACGATACGGCAAAGGGATTTCACGACTATACGACTCCTCATAAACGTTATGAGTTGTCGAAGAAACCGCACAATGGTCAAGTTCACCAAGATCCAGTCCAGCAGCTGTTATGTCGTGTGCTATATTATTAGGTTTCCTATCCTTTTTGCGCCGCTTTCGCGGTTTTATAATCCTGGGCAACATGGTTTCAGAATTAGTAGAGCCGGAACTCTCATCACTTGCTACACTAACCGCATCCGTGTTGTTGTTACGGCCGCCTCGCGGGGAACGTGGCTGTTGCTGTTGGTTGCGAGGCCTGTTACCCTCAGGAGCCTGTTCGCACCGATCTCTAGTGTGTTCATTGTGACCATTTGTATGAGGACGTTGATTACGTGGGTCTGAGGATGTGTTATACTTTCGCCTGTCATGACGATTTTGTATAATCAATGGTGCTCCTTGGGCTTGCATAGCCAATTTCGAGACTGGTGTATTTCTAGCAAGATGTGGTGCACGTCCTGCTATCGATATGAGAGGTGCGCCGAGCCAAGCATTCGGATGAGACACTCCGTATGGTTGATAGTAGGACGGAGGGAAACCCGGTGCGGTGGTGGCATAATGGGGACGAGCGGGTTCGCGGCGCCCGAAGGCGGCTCGCTCGCCCGGACTCATCACGTTTAAAGGGTTGTTTAACCCATATTCGGAATAGTTAAGTTCACTGTCACGGTAACAATATTGGTTTCGCCGCGATGTCGTAATCGTGCACTAACATCGGATTCGTCGCGAGACGCGCGTGTGTTCGCCGAGGCAGCCGGCTAAGGACTGGCGTGAATGAGCGGGCCGGCCGCAGCCGCGAGTGCCGGCGAGTGGGAGTGCCACCGCCGCCACGAGCCTATCGACAACACGGTGCGCGGCACCGATGCACCGGAAACCTTTCAACCCTAATTGCTTCACAATTAAACCGGTTGTTGTTTATTTTCCAAGGGGTTTTATAGAATGCACACAAATATTTAAGTTATTCTTCTACTCATAGATTAGAATAGTAATAAAATGGATAGTAGTAAAATACGGAATCTAAAGCTTCCTGTACGTATAAAAGTCACTATCATAAACGTTTAAGTGTAGACTTATTTTATTTACTTACCCCGATCTAAAGGTGTTTTGCAATCGTTTCAACTTACCTGTAACAAGAAAATCAAGCTCATTATTATCAAATATTATCAATTTTAATAACTTAGGTGCCATAAAAATGTATTTAACGTTGACTTGATAATTACGCTTTTGTAAGATTTATTTATAAATTTTCTAAATAATGGCATTTTTTTATATTTTCATGTTACGACATACTCACAATCAGTTGCACAAACGTCCATTAAATTTGACATTAGTTTAAAGCGTCATTTCGATGCAAATTTGACATTCATTAGACTGTAAAGGACATTTTCAATTAATGTAGCAAATGTTAGTGATAGTTTTACTGGCTCACAATCTACCTAAAATCTATGTTAGTGATAGTTTTACTGGCTCACAATCTACCTAAAATCTAATGTACTTCAAAATCGAATGACAAAAATGTATACAATAATTTCATATAATTAAATTAATGAGAAAATACTGCCAACTTACTGATAACCAATAAGTGGAACCCGAGTCAATAGTGACTATTGTGCACCGCAAATCGATATCTATGTGGTCATGCAAATCGCCATACGTCGAAGCTTCATATTTTATTCTTTTGCTATATCATGTCTATTCGATTCCGTGAAACTTGAGAATATTTGTGTCAAAAGGAATGTTTTATAGAACTAGTAGTTATTTTATTATTTGTCCACACGTTGATCTTTCTAATCTCTCTCTTTCAGAGCTTTACAGCCAGTTGCGCAATATTTAAAATATTTTCTAGATCCATCCTGAAAAGTAACTTCTTATTTTGTAAATTTAACATAAGATAATTACTATAATTTTTTCGAAATGAATTTTACCAATGACCTGTGCAATTTTCTTAAAATTAATTTGCAACTGACCGACTGTACTTTGATTGGTATCTCAACAATTACACGCGGTTGGTATTACGTATCTTTTCGCTCTCGTGACGATAAATAATTTGCTAATTTTCGTTAATATGTTCCATTTGTGAGTGACTGAGTGATTATATTAACACTGAGTGATTAAATTTAAATAATTAAGTGGAAACTGCACTGTTGCAAGATTACTTGTATCGCAATATCGAGACGTGGTGTGGTAAGTTCTAATTGGGTTTCCCAAGTCGAGGCAACCCAACGAGAAGAAATGTGGAAAAATCTAACCAGCCAACTTCTTTCCGACAACTTCATTTAACCTTGGGTCCTTCAAAAGGGTTGTGAAATGCTGTCCAGCAAGATAGTAATGACTTCCGGGAGTATTTTCTATTCCGGGAATATTGTAGGATTAGTAATCATCAGGGGTACTGCAGTCATTTTGCCGTGTCACAATAAAAAGAAAATTAATGTGATGACGAATGACGTTATTTCATTAAAATAAAATAAAAGGCAGCTCATTGATATTATTCAAGTATAATAAAGCAACAAAAACATTTCGAATTTGTCCAAAGGGTCGAACGCAATATTACGATAGGTATACCATAAGAAAGTTTTTCCCATAAACGTAAACTCAAACCGATGGCAATATCACGAGTCACGTATAATTTGACCGGTTAGTGGTTACGTTTCGAAGCGAGTCCGCCTTACCTAAGGGGCGGGAGCGGTAGGTGAAAGTGAAGCCGCTGAATCACTGGCACTCTCTCGGTAATCGAAGGCTTTGAGTGTTCAGCTTGCGTATTAAAGCACAATCAACGTGACATTGTGTATGAATGCGTTTTAAAATATAGCACATGTCACCCGCGTGTGATGTAGCCTTTCGGAGCTTATTCAATGGAAACAAAGAGGCAAATCTTTTTACTGTATATATTTGAGAATTGTGTTGTGCCAAAATGAAGAGAAAACCGTTCTTGGTAAACCTACCAATAAATAATGTTTTTGAAAGTAAGATTCGATTTTCTCAAACGTTATATTAACTATGTCTTTTTGAAACTCAACTCAAATTACAGACCGATCATTCTAACAAATCATCATGCCATGATGGTTTTTTATATATTTTTTTTTAATAAAAAGTAAAAAAAAAAAAAATATTATTGCACAAATAATAGACGTTTACACGCAGTATTCCCTAATAAATAATCACATTTCTTCTTAGTTAACACAAATCAATATTACTGAACACAGTCACATTGAATCTATTCAATGCAAAGAAATAAACAATCGAATCTTCCTCTTCATAATATTAGTATAGATAAAAATTTAATTAACAACAAGAATATGGAAAACTATATGCTTAATAAAATATTTCAATAAATACGAACCTATAAATATTTGAACCACTTTAATGGCTATTCGAAAGTTGTAAAGCAAAGAAAAGCTAATTCACAACCCATAACTATACCATAAAAAAAATTAACGAAAATTAGTAATAATGACCATTTAATGTAACAAATGAAAAGTGTTACAACAATAGAAATTTCAAATTCTAACACTCGTATCCATAGTCTATAAAAGTAATTACTTGAGAAAAAAATCATTACTCGAGCAAAAAATTTTACCAACAGACGTGAATTTTAATGTAGTAGGAACTGTCAGTAGCTAATTATAATAGTATTCTAACTATTAACAGTTCTAACTTCATTCAAATACTTGTTTATTGGGTAAAAATATCTGATTAAAGCATTTTCTCAAGTAATTACTTCACTCGATTCTACCTATATACGTATGTAAGAAAATTTCCATACTTCAGAGGTTTATGCATCTATAGTCAAATCCACACTGAGCTCACGTAATATAACCTGTATGGTACATTCCTTATATTTGATTCCTTATATAGAACGTTAATATGCTAAAGATTATGGTGATGATTTTCAATAGAAAACAAGTTTTAAAGATTTTAATTTATGGATGCGGCGAAAACGATTAACCACGATCACGCAACATCAAACTTTCTTATTATAAGTTCATAACACTAATTTTGTAAATTCGAAAGCATCTATCTGTCACGGTTAATAGTTTAAAGGTCTGAAGGAAGACAAGCTACTTTTGCAGAACAATTCATTTTGAATCCACGCAGACAAAGTGACGTGTAAAGGCTAGATTTATTAAATCTGATCGAAGATGCGTCGGAACGTTAAAAGAAACAATTTCGAGATGCAAATTTGCAAACTCGACAAAAGACATGTCACGTACTAACGTTTAATCAACTTTAAGTATTCATTACTTAAAATAATTAAATGAAATGTCAACAATTACAATGTTTAAGGTAAAAATGTGAACGTTAACAGTGTAACGTCGGTACTACAGATAGGTATCTATTCTCGGATAAAATGTGCAGTCGGCCAAAAGTATGGTATATCTAAGGTAAAAAGATTTCAACGTCACGAAACAGTAATTCACCCCTGTAATAATATTATAAGTGACCATTACTTCAATGTCTGAGATGATCATGTCATAATCGAAAATCTTAACTCCATTCGAAGAGAGAGCGAGAGATAAAACAGAATTGTTCGTGTTAATAAAAGTAGTTAAAATAATTGCAACTTTTTCATTCAACTGTATATTGAAAAGTGCAATTTAATTAAATCTAAAGTTGGATGTTTTGATTGTAACGAAATTTGTTATTTCCATTAGAAACCAACAAATAAGCACTCAGTGGAATAAAACCGTGTCATACCAGACTAGCTAACAAAAATCTCGAACGGGATGGTATACGGACTATCAAGTCTCAAGCTTTGGTAACATCGTTCATAGCCGCGATCACTGTGTATGATGACATAACAGATGAATGTCTGACAGACCACGAGTGTACACGTTGGCATCAGAGAAAGTGATCAGCCGATTCGTTGACCCCACTGGTGTGGTGGCACAGTCGCGTGCTAAGACTAAATCAATTTTCTCTATCCACTCTCGCTCTCGAATGGATGCGTTACCCGTCTTGTAGATGTTACGAGTTATAGGCAGCTATTACGACAGCTAAACTTTATTATAGTTTCGAAATATGGAAAGTTACTGATGATCGTTTGAATTCGTTAGCAAACACCGCAGTCAACTGCATCGAATGTCAACGAAATAGTGAACTGTCTGTATTATAATAAAAATATAGACAAGTGGTTCCTGACATGGGAGTAATCACCTATTTTTTATGGAAATAAAGAACCAAATATAATAAGAGAAGAATAAAAACTATCTCAATTTTGGAACATGATTTAATACGTTTTTCTCGAAATAAGGACCGCAGTTTAATATGGTGGATAAAATCAGTATTTATAATAGGTGCTAGAGGTTACTATAATGGAAATAAAAAATGCTTGAAAAGTCAGCCAGAATAACCAGCACCTGGTACCCCGAGATGGGACTCGAACCCAGAAGCCTTCGCATTCCTGGAAAGTGCCCGCGACCCAACAGGACTGACAAAATTTTCAAATACCTGTTTGTTACTTTTCGCTACTAGTTAAGTAGCGGAAGTGCAAAATTTATCAAATATAACAATCATGAAAAGTTTACCACTAATATAGATGATAAAGTAAGTAGGTATACATTTTTACTCTTAGCTTTAAATGTGAATAAAGCTAATAATGTTCCTGTCCTTCCTATTATCTATATTATTATCATATATTATCTTCCTATTTCTATCAGAACAGAAAAATAATAGGTGCAGTAGGCATAAGCCATAAAAATTAACAAGAAAACATCAATACATGGTCTAATGTTTAAGCAGAAACGAATTATGAAGATGGCGGAAGGCG